TATCTTTAATCTTTAACCAAACATTCTTGTAGAAGAACTATCAAACATAAGACAATTTGTATGGGTAATACTCTCCCTAGAATTGACCATTACAACCCATGGTAAGAATATATTAATATCATGAATAAAATTCCTTCACACCAAGATAATCCAACAAAATCAATAAATTAACGTATGCCTCATCTCTAAAATGATTAAAAGAAACACAAGCTCTATATCTTACATATTTCTCTTTTAGTGCTAAATGCCTTTAAACTTTTAAACTTGTAAGTACAACAACCTGATTAGCATTTCCCAAAGGACAATCATTATAATTCCTAATATTAACCATCTCACATCTCCAAATTCCATTGTATATGTACTTTACAGTACAATATGGTACATCTCCTCAAAACTGCTTCTTACATTTCTCAAACCTCATAACCATTCATCATAACATAAACCATTTTTAAACTACAAGACACCTACTATCTTAATATGTTTAAAATTCTAGTTGTATTTCCATACCTTGAATCTACTTAATTCAACATATTCTTAAGAGATAAAATCACATTCTCCTTTGGGTTTCGAACACCAGACCACATGCGAGGTTGGCAAGCCATTTGCCACTAGAGCATCCAACCTCTTTAATAAGTTCTATGCTCCTCGTCCATATCCAATTAATCAACCATTCTTATACCTTTTTTTTTTTAATAGCTATGAATCACCCAAACTTAGTCATGTGGTCTAAACTTACACAACGTAAAGGCAACACCAAAAACCATTCCAATTCCATGTCTAAGACGTTCGAATCATGTAATTATAATTAACTCAACTCAATTGTTTGCAAATCCACCAAGGAAACATTTCATGTCCTAAAATCATAGCACTAACACAACCCCTCAATTAAATTAAAAAAAAAAAACAAAAATCTGTCTCTTCATAAGCCAATCTAGTTGACTAAATGATCTTAGACTGATATTAGAAGGCAGAAATTATTCTATATAATATTTTTTTTTCCAGATATCATAAAAAAATCCCACTAGCCAACTCCACATTCTAACAACATTAGCATAGTAAATAAATCCAAATCAACTCAAAATAATAATAATAATAATAATAATAATAATAATAATAATAATAATAATAACTAATATAGACTCCAAATCTTCGTCTCTAAATCTTCATCTGATGCCAAGTAGTCTCCCAATATCAACCCAAAAATCACTATTAGAATAATACCACATTTCAATTTCATCAAAATCATATCCACTTTAGCCTAGAAAAGTTCAAGTAATTGAAAAACTCCTATCTTCGAATTCAACTCCAATTCTTGATGGAAATGTTGAGAAGTCAATGATATAATTCTATGCATATATATATACACACAAAAGGAAACAAGGCTTGGAGGAATTACCTTAATTAAAAGTTAAAGAATTAAGACTCCCTTAACAAGCTCTCAATTCACTTTCTATTTAAGTCAATTACAACTTTTCATATTGTGTATAAAACTGTCTCCAAGTAATCTACATCATTCTTAATATTCAACCAAGTTGCAATATAGACAATTTTACAGGAGTGGACTTTCAATACTACCAAATAACTAAATTCTCATTTATTGGGAATTAGAAATTCACTATCTTCCAATGGTAATTCTAATTAGCATAAGCTCCACTAATCAAGTCTATAACCAAGATGACGGTGAAGTAATGGATAGCAAGGATGAAGAATTTCAAGAGAAGTATCATCTCACATATACTCGTTTAGTCACTTACCCCTAATAGGGGTGCCAATACATGATCTATATTCAAAATGATTAGCAAGTTACTAAAAACACATGCAAGGCTAATGATGCATTGATGTCCCATTACTATAAAGAACCCCACTCTTGCTCACCACGTGTCTAGGCTTACAACCCTAAACCTGGCCCAAAAGATTTCAACCTGGCTCTGATACCACAAAATTTGTCACACCCCAACCCAAAGGTTTAGGTATAACAAATGCCACACGTCTATAGGGTCACCCTATAAATGTGTAAGGCCATCTACGAGCATATCAATATAATCTCCCATAAAGTTCTAATGTAGTCTAGCGATTCGATTGAGCTATTGCTAAATTTTTGCCAGTTTATTCTAACGATCTCTCAATCCCCATGTGAATCCCAATGCTCATACCTCTTCACCTAAAATGAGAT